CGTGAGATCTGAGCTGGATGTATTGGTTCTATCAGCATGCAGGTAGTGGTTCAAGCCATGAATGTAGACGAGTTTCCCAGAGAGAGTATGAAGACTAAGGGCAAAAGGCAGTAACAACAGGAAAGGCCAGCAATCCTCTGACAGCACCATCTATGATAAACCTAATTTTTTCTTTTTCTGGAAAAACGATACCAATATTTCATGCAGCTCATGATGCACTCCCGCTGTAAACTGCCCAGAAAACAAGCAGAACTTCCCATGATGCACCAAAAGTCGCCAGAAGGGGAAGACTTTCCAGCAGATTCTAGTGTTCATCTTGCTTCCAGCCTCCTGCTCCTGTCAGAGGTTTTGGGGTTTTATATAACCCTAATGTGGGCAGCTAGGTAGTACACACATAGACATTTTCTAGATGTTTTTCTTTTTTAAAGTGTTAATAAATCTACCCAAACAGACCATAGTTTGAGATACAGTGATTTGTAAAATATTTATTATCATCTATATAAGCCTATAAAAGATCAAAGTTTAGAAGTTTAAAGAAAAACAAATCTGAACTTAGGCTCTGTTTCAGGGTGAAAGGGAGAAAAACAAGATCTTTAATGGACAATATATGTATATTGTGATGCCAGCAATATAAAATCAGGTCACGATTGCCAAAAGAAAGAAACTTTTTTTTTTAACTTAATTTGTGTAGATAATAATTTTAATTTATATTTTGGATAGGTTGTGAAAGCAACACTGACTGATACCATCAGGGAAATGAAAGAAGAAATCCATGAGTAGGATGGCACTGGGCCATTCCTGCTGGGCTCTCTGCCTTTAGCTCTTGCTTCCACGATATTGATCCAGTCCACTTTCCCAGATTGTCCATGATATCAGGGCTTTTAATGTGGTAGTTTCCATTCCTGGAATATTCTCCTCATCCCAAATCACTGTTCATTTCTCAAAGCTCCAACAAGGTGTCATCTTTTCGGTGTTCCCACCTTGACTACTCATTTTCCCAGTGGATTTCCTCACTCTCTCTTTTGTATCTGTCTGTGCCTTGTATGTATATGTATCACAGTGGCAGGTGATTCTGAAGTTTATCATCTCCCTTATTAGTATATGAGATCTTTGGTAGTTGAAAATGTTGCATACACATTGATCTTGGCATCCTGTGGATTTACAGAGTACTTGATACAATAACACACAATAGCAATTTGTTGAACTGAGCTGCATAGAGATATAGGTACTTCCATCTTACTAAAGTGAAAATAACAGTACCTTCCATATCTTTGTTTTCATTATGTAGCAACTGACATTCTAGGGTTCACCTAAAAAAAAAATGTGTAGTTTGTAATTTCCTCCAAGAAGAGTCCTTTCAGCCAGTTGGCCCCTGTAGGTTCTGTGTTGGAAGTTTATTTGAAAATACATGTGAAGCTTCCAAGCAACTATACAGATACAATTAACCTTTTCCCAGCTTTAGGCCAAGTAGATCACTGGACTTCCGCTCTGGAACTGCCACTTTTTCTTCTCTCTAAAATAATATAATGTTTAACTTTTGTTGAAAAAACCATTCATAACTGCTTTAACAAAGGCCTGTAATGTATATGTAAAGTGCTAGACACACAGAGTGGAAGATATTCTCCCAAATAGAGGAATATATTTTGTTGCTGAAGCTCATGAAGATATTGTTTTTCCCATGATAGCAGATCTTCATTTAAAGGTGTGTTAACAGTCAGATTGCTTGAGGCAGATATTGCAGAGAGAGAGAGAGAAAGAGAAAGAGAGAGATAGGGTTCCTGTCTTTCTATCTACACTCAGGATGCATGTTAAATAGTGGTTCTCAAAGAGGGCTGGGTGTTTGGAAATGTGTGGGGATGAAGCCTGCTTTGTTTGTTTTTGAAGAGGGGAGAAAAAAGAGGTGGGCAACCCGAGGATGCAGAGGCAGATCCCTGCTGGCATACCGTTAAGCTCGTGGCTGTTAACTGAAAGCTTGGTGGTTCAAACCCACCCAGTGGCCTCACAGAAGAAAAGACCTGGCAATCTGCTCCGGTAAAGATTACAGCAAAGAAAACTCTGTGGGGCAGTTCTACTCTGTCTTATTGGGTCGCTATGAGTCGGAATCGACTTGACGGCGCGGCACGCAGCAACAACTGACATTTAGTGGGTGACTACCAAGGGTGATAATCCTCCTATACAACTGAATCACTTCTGCATAAAAACAATTGTCCCCCCAAATTACTGGTATTGTTCCCTTGAGAAATACTGGGGATGTGGCCTAAGCTAGTTGCTAATAGGACATGACAAAATACAAACAAATCCTGATTAGCACAGTCAGTGGCAACATCACAACAGCATAGCACAATCTCTTTTCCTTAAGATTTGGTTCACGTTCAAGGAGGATATCCAATGAGTAAGACGAACGTAGAATAGAGGAAAAAAAATCCGAATCGTGGACAAAACCTACTTGCCAAGAAATTCTCTACTGTCAAAAGCCCACCATTTTGATCCTGCTAGTCTCCAAACAGCAGTGTTTTGTTCTGTTGTACATAGGATCGCTGGGTCAGAACCAGCTCAACAGCACCTTACAACAACGTCCTCCAAACAGGAATCCTGGTGGCGCGGTGGTTAAGAGCTCGGCTGCTAACCAAAAGGTTGGCAGTTTAAATCCACCAGCCGCTCCTCGGAAACCCTGTGGGGCCATTCTATTCTGTCTTATAGGGTCGCTATGAGTCTGAATTGACTTGATGGCAACGGGTTTGGTTTGAGTTTATCCCCCAAACATCCATTGTGTTGAAAGCAAAAATAAAGCTAATAGAGGAGACTAACATCTTATCAGAAATAAATCAGTTTATTTATTCATTCACCAACTATTAACTATATTCTACATCTTGATGATATAGTAGTGAAAAAAAAACAGGCGTGTTTCCTTCCCTTATACAACTCAGTCTGGAGAACTATATCAGCTTTAAAAAGGTTTCACCTTTTTATATAAACATCCCCAGGTGGAAGATAGAATAATATAAGAAAGGTTTCCTTTGCAGTTAGCTGGAAATGGAGTCAGCATATCCCAGATATGAAATGCACGGAGAAGGGGCCAGCGTGCAGCTGGCATGGGAAACGTTTCTAGTTACTTTCGGGCGTATAGAAATGCTTGTTTGTGAGGCCTTCCTTTACCAGCTGAATGCAAAGCTAAAAATCTTTGCCACATAGCCCAAGTCACTGTAAACCATAGTTTTAAAATAAAGGTAACTAAGCTTTATTGTCATCTCAATTTTTTTTTGTTATTATTTGTTTGCTTCTTCATTTGTTTTGCTTGACAAGTAAAATCATTATCCAGATGAAAAAAGGGAAGTCAACTGAAAAGGGGGAAATGGCAGGCTAGTCTGGATCTGAATTATCCAACGGGGCTTCCTAGAATAGTCAATTTCTAGGTTTATTTCTTATACAGTGAAACCTGCGAGAGCTGGAACTAGAAGGGACTGCCTGGTTTTTCCGAGTCTCACAAGTTCTTCCTCCTTTGACGAGGTACAGTCTTACCACTTAACTACGGCTCTCTATTAGTGGAAAATATTTTGTGTTTTCCTTCTCTGACAGGTTTCCACCTGACACAGGTTCTGGCTTTCGCAGGTTTTACTGTACCGTATTTGGTCTGCCTGAGAAAAGAGGATCTCTATTCCATCCCCTTCCCCCAGGGACCAAAGCCTTCAAAGAACAGTCCTTCCTCAGTTCAACATAGGATTTTTGGGAACTACAGTGAATTCACCAAAATTAGCATGTACAAAGATTGTCACTGCAAACCACAAACTCAGTTATCTCCATGGTAATGTTTAAAAAATACATTGTCAGGAATTGAGTCACATCCTCACTTGTCAATGTGTCTCCCTAAAGCAGGGTGGATGTCTGCATATGAATGTTTGTCCTTTGTTTCCTGGACTGGATGGGAGCTCACTGTCTGGAGCTGCCTGTGCACTCAGTCCAAACTTCAGTAGGACTAAGTCATAACTCAAGAAAGGAGCAACCAGAAGATGTTGGCTTCATGATAAATCTATCAGTCAGATGAACTGACCCATTTCCAACAAAGTTAAGCAATTTCTTTTCATGCAAAATGTTGAAGTGTGGTTCTCAGACCCGCAGCAGCAACATCACTTAAGAACTTGCTGGAATTGCAAATACTGGAGCCCTCCCCGAAGAGCAACTGCCAACCCAAACATCGGTGGTTCGAACCCACCAGGGAGAAAGATGTGGCAGTCTTGGAAACCCTGTGCGGTCGCTATGAGTCAGAATTGACTCAAGGCAGTGGGCTTGGTTTTGGGTTTTTGGAGGGTAGGGCCCATCCATCTGCTTTTAACAAGTCTTTCAAATGATTCTGATGTGTGTTAAAGAGAACCACTGACATGGAGTGCAGACCTGTGCTTTAAAAAGGTAAAAGAAGGTATTTGTGATGCTGCCAATGCATAATGAGAGAAGCCCTGAAAAGAAAGAGAGGGAGGGAGGAAGGAAGGAAAGATGGAAGGAAGGGAGGAAGAAAGGAAGAGAGGAAGGAAGGAAGGGAGGAAGGGAGGAAAGATGGAAGGAAGGGAGGAAGAAAGGAAGAGAAGAAGAAAGGAAGGGAGGAAGGGAGGAAAGATGGAAGAAAGAAAAAAAGAGAAAAGGAAAGAAAGAAAGAACCTAGATTTGTCCTGTGGTTCCTATTCTAGTAATTAGACTTTGTTTTATCTAAGTTGATAAGCAGATGCTTTGGCAAAGGAAAAACTAGCTCATGAAGCTATGTTTTGAAAATTTAACTCAGAACCCCTGATGAAAGATCACAGGAAATATTTGTATCAAATTTTATGTAACTATTTGTTGTAAAATATTTTTTTTCTTTTCTCTCACTTTGGAAAATATTTTTAGCTAAAAACAGAAAAGCTTCATCTGCCGGCTGCCACTGAAAAAGCACACGCCTACAAACCCGCAAACATACATTTGTATGTAGAAAGATACCTAATTAGGTTCTATGCAAATATGTCTTTTAATGTTAAAATTAAAACTTTGTGGGTAAGTTTAACACATTGCTACACATGGTTGCTCTTGTTTTCGTTGTTGTGTGCCACACCAGGTCAATTCTGACTCATGACGACTCTGTAAGACAGAGTAGAACTGTCCCATAGGGCTTCCTAGGCTGTAATCTTTATAGGGAACAAATCACCAGGTCTTTTCTCCCTCGGAGAAACTGGTGGGTTCAAACCTGATCTTTCAGTTAGTAGCCGAGTGCTTTAACTGCTGCGCCCCCAGGGTTACACTACATATGGTAAATATATAAATTTAACTAATTAAGTATACTTATCTTTTTCTTAAAATTGAATTCTAATTATAAATTTCAATTTGACATATATTATGGAGCCCTGGTGGCACAGTGGTTAAGCGTTCAGCTACTAACCAAAAGGTCTGCAGTTCGAATCTACCAGCTGCTCCTTGGAAACCCTATGGGGCAGTTCTGCTCTGTCCTGTAGGGTCACTATGAGTTGGAATCGACTGGATGGCAATGGTATATATAAAACCAAAAAGTCCTAAGCATATATTTTTCCATTTGCTTGATAGAAGTATGGAGCAGTGGGACAGACTTACCGATGAGCAGGAGGAAGCTGTAAACCGCTCAGAATCTGTGAAATTTGATGCTCGCTCAATGACGGCACTGATTGCTCAGAGTAAGTAGGCGGGTGCGGGGTGCCCATGGAGGCTGTTCTTAAGAGTTGTGGACAATATGTAAAATTATAGTCTTGAGACTTATCTTAAATGTGTATGGATATTAAAATAACAGTTATCTGATCAATAGGTTTACTCCTCTCTTGAGACAGAATAGAAAATCAGCTTAAACCATTAAGTAAGGAATAATTGCATTAGATTAAATTGGTTCACAGTAGATTGACATTTCTGATTTCCAAGCCTCAAGACCAGTCCTAGAGATGACTGTGGTCCTACCATCATGCACTGATATTGGAAAACTGTAGGTGGTAGTTACTGAAACACGTGTTTGTACAGGTTACAACAGGAAATCAATAGAAGCACGGTTCAGCCGTAGCTGGACAGGCTTGTTTAAGGAGGCAGGACAGAGGAGTTTTTAATTCCACGAAGTCTTGAAGGATGAATAGGGTTCATCAAGGTAATGGATGAGGAGAAGGGAGTTACAGGGACATTTCAGTAAGAGGAAGCAGCATATAGCAAAGACAGAGGGTCATGAGTGAGTCCTTACATAGTTAACCTGAGATATAGGTCACAACCCCAGGGCAAGGTGGACCTTTGTGCCAGGGAGGGATGGAGGGGAGGGTGTGACACCAGTGAGTCAGAAGCAAGAACAAAAATAGTAAAAGCTGTTATAGGCAGAGATAAAAAGAGGTGGAGAAGGTAGGACAGTGGCACTGGGGACAAAGAAAAGGCAACAGAAACCTTTGAATTCCATTTAAAAGGTAGAATTCATAGAACTCCTGAATTTGAGTTGGAGACAAGGAAGGAGATGACTCCTAGGTTTCAGGCTTAGTTGACCTGGTAGACGAGATACGCCTTCTTGCTCCTGTTGTGGGTGCTTTTCCTTCGTTTTCTATCTTTTTATTTGTTTTCTTTTCTCTCCTATTCTTTTCTTTTTTTCTCTTCTTTCCATTTAATCCCACATAGAATATTATTGAACAATGTCTAAAATTTATTTAGGAGTTTGCAACCTGAAATCAAATTGCACTCCTTTTTTTTTTTAATTGAACAATAAAAACGAAAGTCATACGGAAGAATTTTGGAATAGATGTTTTACTCACTTAGTCAGAGAAAGGTCATCTCGTCTATTAAGTTTCCAGTCTCTACTGATTTATCTCTACCTCATTTAGCATCCCATTACATGAACTACTGTTCCACATAAGTGCATAATGCTAAAAGGTTATTGTTATGAATGTATCTTGAAATACCCAGAGAATGGGCTTCAGGGATCCATTCCAAAGTTTAGTCAAAGTGGAAATGTTTGAAAAATTCATGGTTGTATTAAGTTACATGAAAATTTTTATTTTAACCCAGAACATACGATAGCCAATGCTTTCTAACAGTGGCTTATGCTTTTGTTTTTTTAGATCCTAAAAATGGCCCTACTCTTCAAGAGAAACTGAAGTCTTTCAAAGCTGCGTTGATTGTTCTTTATCTCCTTGTGTTTGCACTTCTCATACCAGTCATCGGAATAGTGGCAGGTACTGTATTCTAGAGTTCTGCAACTCAGCAACTAACCTGTGATTATTTACTGCAGAAGCAAAGAAATAACTGTCTTTTGCATGTGGTAGATTCATAAGGAAAACTTCACATTACAAAGTTTTCCTCAAATTGATTAAATGAAAAAATAGATTCTGAAAACTTAAGTGGAAAGGGTAGATTTTTTTAAAAGTAAAATACTCTAAAATCTATCATTTTTTTTTCTGGGTCTAGCAGCATGAAAGAAAATGTACGGGTGTGGTGGTGGGTGTGTGGATGGGTGAGTGGACATGTTTCTATCTCTATAATGTGCAAAAATGTCAACCAAAGGGAAAGATTTAATATACAGTTAAGATTTAGTTGTTTTCAGAAGTAAAATAATTAAAGTAAAAATATCTAAAAGGAAATTAATCCTTAAACATTTCCTCATTTTTGGTATCTGTTAGATTTTTTTTTTCCTATTTTATATTACCTTGTAGTCAAATCTTAAAAATTATCTTACTACAAAGCTATTGAGATGGAACTGGAAAAGAAAACTATTTTTGCATAATAGGCATAGACAATAAATGTTTACATTATAATTTAAAATATCTTTGCTAGTTCTAAATTTAATCTTTCCCTGAAATATCCGGAATAGTATACGTATTATTGTTACTGAAAAAAACACAAAAAAATTCTTCCATTTTAGTGATTTTAAATTATTGAGGTGATTGCTATTGATTATTAAAATTTTAGCATTTGAGTCTATACATCCTCACCATGAATCATAGCCTTTGTTATTGTTGTTGTTGTTAGGTGCCGTTGAGTAGGTTCCGACTCATAGCGACCCTTGTACAACAAAATGAAACACTGCCTGGTCCTATGTCCTCCTCACAATTGTTGCCATATTTGAGCCCATTGTTGCAGCCACTGTGTCAATCCATCTCGTTGAGGGTCCTCTCTTTTGCTGACTCTCTACTTTACCAAGCATGATATCCTTCTCCAGGGTCTGATCCCTCCTGATAAAATGTCCAAAGTATGCAAGTCTCACCATCGCCGCTTCTAAATAGCATTCTGGCTGTGCTTCTTCCAAGACAGGCCTGTTCATTCTTCTGGCAGTCCATGGTATAGTCAATATTCTTCACCAACACCATAATTCAAAGGCATTAACTCTCTTATGTCTTCCTTATTCATTGTCCAGCTTTCACATGCATATGAGGTAACTGAAAACACCATGGCTTGGGTCAGGCGCATCTTAGTCCTGAAAGTGACATCTTTGCTTTTTAACACTTTAAAGAGGTCTTTTGCAGCACATTTGCCTAGTGCAATGCATCTTTTGATTTCTTGACTGCTGCTTCCATGGTCCTTGATTGTGGATCCAGGTAAAATGAAAATCCTTCACAACTGCAATCTTTTCTCCATTTATAATGACATTGCTTACTGGTCCAGTTGTGAGGATTTTTGTTTTCTTTATGTTGAGGCACAATCCATACTGAAAGCTGCAGTCTTTGATCTTCATCAGTAAGTGCTTCAGGTTCTCTTCACTTTCAGCAAGCGTACTGCAGGTTGTTAATGAGTCTTCCTCCAATCCTGATGCTGCATTCTTCTTCATATAGTCCAGCTTCTCAGATTGTTTGCTCAGCATACAGATTGAATGAATGTGGTGAAAGGATACAACCTTGATGCACATCTTTCCTGACTTTAAACCACACAGTATCCCCTTGTTCTGCCTGAACAACTGTGTCTTAGTCTATGTACAGGTTCCTCGTGAGCACAATTAGGTGTTTTGGAATTCCCATTCTTTGCAATGTTATGCATAATTTGTTATGATCTACACTGTTGAATGTTTTTTCATAGTCAATAAAACACAGGTAAACATCTTTCTGGTATTCTCTGCTTTCAGCCAAGATCCATCTGACATCAGTAATGATATCCCTGGTTCCATGTCCTCTTCTGAATCTGGCTTGAATTTCTGGCAGTTCCCTATAGATGTACTGCTTCAAACATTTTTTGAATCATTTTCAGGAAAATTTTACTTGCGTATGATGTTAATTGTATTGTTCAATAATTTCCACATTCTGTTGGATCACCTTTCTTTGGAATGGGCAAGTATTTGGATTTCTTCCAGTCAGCTGGCCAGGTAGCTGTCTTCCAAATTTCTTGGCATAGACGAGTGAGCACTTCCTATGCTGCATCCATTTGTTGAGACGTCTCAATTGGTATTCTGTCAATTCTTGGAGCCTTGTTTTTCACCAATGCCTTCAGTACAGCTTGGACTTCTTCTTTCAATACCATTGGTTCTTGATCATATACTACCTCCTGAAGTGGTTGAACGTCGACCAATTCTTTTTGGTACAATGGCTCTGTGTATTCCTTCCATCTTTTTTTGATGCTTCCTATGTTGTTCAATATCTTGCCCATAGAATCCTACAATATTGCAACTTGTAGCTTGAATTTTTTCTCCAGTTCTTTTAGCTTGAGAAATGTGAGCATGTTCTCCCTTTTGGTTTTCTATCTCCAGGTCTTTGCACATGTCATTATAATGCTTCACTTTGTCTTCTCAAGCTGCCCTTTGAAATCTTCTGTTCAGCTCTTTTACTTCATCATTGCTTCCATTCACTTCAGCTACTTGATGTTCAAGAGCAAGTTTCAGAGTCTCTTCTGACATCCATTTTGGCCTTCTTTTCTTTCTTGTCTTTTTAATGACCATTTGCTTTTTTCATGTATGTTGTCCTTGATGTCATCCCACAAATCATCTGGTCTTTGGTCATTAGTGTTCAATGCATCATATCTATTCTTGAGACAGTCTCTAAATTCAGATGAGATATACTCAACGTTGTACTTTGGCTCTTGTGGATTTATTTTAATTTTCTTCAGCTTCAACTTGAACTTGATTTGAGCAAATGATGGTCTGTTCTGCTGCTGGACCCTGGCCTTGTTCTGACTGATGATACTGAGCTTTTCCATAGTCTCTTTCCACAGATGTAGTCAACTTGATTCCTGCTTATTCCATCTGCAAGGTCTACGTATACAGTCACTGTTTATGTTGTTGAAAAAAAGTATTTCCAATGAATAGGTCAGTGGTCTTGCAGAATTCTATAATGTGATCTCTGGTGTCATTTCTATCACTAAGACCATATTTCCTAACTATAGATCCTTCTTCTTTATTTCCAGCTTTCACATTCCAATCACCAGTACTTTATCAATGCATGTTGATTACATGTTTGATCAATTTCAGACTGCAGAAGTTGGTAAAAATCTTCAGTTTCTTCATCTTTGGCCTTAGCGGTTGGTGCATAAATTTGAATAATAGTTGTATTAACTGGTCTTCCTTATAAGCATATGTATATTATCCTATCACTGACAGAGGTGCACTTCAGGGTAGATTTTGAAATGTTCTTTTTGACAATGAATGTGACACTGTTTCTCTTCAAGTTGTCATTCCTGGCATAGTAGACCATATGATTGTCTGATTCAAAATGGTCAGTACTAGTCCATTCTCGCTAATGCCTAGGATGTCGATGTTTATGTGTTCCGTTTCATTTTTGACAACTTCTAATTTTCCTAGATTGATAGTTTGTACATTCCACGTTCCAATTATTACTGGATGTTTGTAGCTCTTTCTTCTCATTTTGAGTCATACCACTTAAGCAAATGAAGGTCCTGAAAGCTTTACTCCATTCATATCATTAAATTCTACTCTACTTTGAGGAGGAAGCTCTTCCCCAGTCCTATTTTGAGTGGAATGCCTTCCAACCTGAGGGGCTCATCTGCCAGCACTATATCAGACAATGTTCCACTTCTATTCATAACGGTTCCACGGGCTAATTTTTTTTTATTTAGATGTAGATCACCAGGTCCTTCCTCCTAGTCTGTCTGAGTCTGGAAGCTCCACTGAAACCTGTTCATCATGGGTGACCCTGCTGGTATTTGAAATACTGGTGGCTTAGCTTCCAGCATCACAGCAACATGCAAGCCACCACAGTAGGACAGACTGACAGACGAGTGGTGGATGAAACACATAGAATAAAATTCATGTTTCCATGTGTTAGTATCGAGGTTGAAATTTATCAACGGATGCCAAAAATGAGACAAGTACGATTTGCGGAGAATAGTAAACTTCTCATGAATGTTTTGTGAATGGATAATCAAACATCAGTAGTGACAACTGTATTGGATTTTCCTGTGACTTTCCCTTTGCTTCTTAGGGATAAATGAGAACCTGTTTTTAGTTTGCCTCCTGTTTTGTTCCAAGAGGCTTGGTAGTAACAATATAACTAGAGATTTAAAATTTAATTAAGTAAGAAGAGTAAGATAAAAATATAGATATGTAAAGGTAAAATGTAATGAACCAGACCATTTCAAAAAAAATTATCCCCTAAAGTCCTATATACTTCTAGCAGTGGGTCACAGATTTGATGATAAGTATTCTAGTGCTAGTTGAAGACGTAAACCTGATCATTTACATTAAAATTCCTATAATATAAAAAGCCAGTTTTCTCATGAGAAGCTTTTCTAGTACTGAGAGCAGAGACAACTATTCCTGTGAGTCTTCGTGAAGAAGAGGGCTTATAAACTAATGACCTACACCTCAGCAATGTCCTTACAGTTTATATGGCCACATGTTTCATAGGATTATTATTTAAAATAGCTTTCAAAATAATCTAATGAACATCCTCTGGGAGAAAAAAGTAAAAAGAACCTTTTACTTGGGCTCAGCTTGATGTCCTTCAGATATGGCTCTTTGGAGAGTCTGGCTTGAAGTGGGGGTAAATTTGAGGGTTTCTTCAGGGGTAGGTTGGTGGCACAGTGGTTAAAGTGCTCCACTAATTGAAAGGTTAGCAGTTTGAACCCACTAGCTGTTCCACAGGAGTAAGATATGACAGTCTGCTTCCATAAAGGTTTACAGCCTTGGAAACCCTATGGGGCAATTCTACTCTGTCCTGTCCTATAGGGTCACTGTGAGTTCGAATCGACTGGACGGCAGTGGATTTTTGGTGGGTAGTTCTCCTCTTCTCTATGA